GATCTCACCCCTAACCCAAAGGTGGATGAGGGTGCCAGTATCTCCACATCCTTCAGCCCTATGAATGATCTTTACGAACTTGATGAAGAAAAATTCTTATCTAATTGTTTTAATGTTCCATACCTAAAAAATGTATGTTCATTTGTCATTTGTGTTTGTATTTTTATGGGTTCCCCGTTTCATATACATTTTTAAAAATTCTTTAGTTATTGCTCTTTTAACTTTTTATTTCAAGTATCTTTTTATGAATTAAGAAAACTAGCACTTCCCTTGTTTGTTGCAAAAATACTTACTGTAGGCTGCCTTTTTTAAATGCTGTTTTTATACTGTAGATCAGTAAACTTAGTTTTATCATTATTTTTCTACCTTTTTTCTCCTTAGGAATGTCCCCTTCAGTAAGAAAATATAAAAATGATCCAATTTTATCTTCTTTTTTTTAGGAATTCACCAAATTTAATTCTTTTTTTATTTTTCAAATACAGTTGACATTTAATATTATATTAGTTTCAAGTGTATAGCATAGCAATTAGATACTTATAAAACTTACAAAGTTATTCCCCCAATAAGTCTAGCAATCATCTGGCACTATACATAGCTATTACAATATTATTGACTATATTCCCTATGCTTTACTTTATATCCCCGTGACTATTTTGCAAATGCTAGTTTGTTCTTGAGGTCTTTTCTCTATGTAAATTTTAAACATTTAAATCCATAATCCATTTGGAATTTATTCTGGTATATAAAAAATAGGCAGTATATCATTTTAAATCTAAATAATTATATTTCATTTAATATATTTTATATAATAGTTGCAAGAAATAGCCTTTCTCAGTGAAACAAATTCTGTAATACCCATTTAGACAATAGCTTGTTTTCAGTCAATATGTAATTGCTTACACTTTTTAGTACTTCAGAAATTGTCCCAATAACATATGCTTGATGGGAGATACATAATTATGCTTTTTTTCATCAATCATGCTTTTTTTCCTGCATTACATGAAGATTTGGACACCCAAGAAAGTTTCTTCCAATGTAGAGAAATTATTTCCCATGGTGTTTTTCTGTAACATAACATTTATTACATTGCTGGGTAAAATTTTCCTTGCTGCCTTCTAACAGATTGTGAACTCCTTGGGAAAAGAATCATATTTTATTTACCTCATTGCATTGCATGACTTCACAGAAGAAATCATGCAACTTAATCAATCAATCAATCAATCAATCAATCAATATATAAGAAAAGAATTAATGATACAAATCTTTGATAGACACACTAAATGATATTCCTTTACTTACTTATTGTGCTCTGCACACATATTGAAGAAAGCTAAGATGACTATGTATTAATACAATTTCTTTACACCTTAAGCACATGTTTGTCTGGAGAGAATTTTTTTTCCAAAGATTATATACTGCATGCTATAAGAATGGAACAACTGCTATTTCTGAATTCTTTTTTCCCAAGGTTCATTCAGCACCATATTCTCACTCATTTTATTAGAAAATGACACCAAGCTATATTCAGAAGCCTGCACACTACATAGTTATTGAGCATAGGAACACTCTTTATTTTAACATGATTTGCATAGAGTCTTAACTACCTGCCAAAAAGCCTGCAATGAGAGATAAAATGCTTGAGAATAATAAAATGCATTTTAAATCCTCTCATTCAACACAGCTCCTCCAACCTTCTCTTCAGAGGGAAGGGAGTTAAGTCCATGATGTATTGCCACTTAAAGTCACATCTGTGAAATCCGGGGTGGAGGGGGGATCAGGAGGTAGAAGGATGGTATTTGTAATTCCATTTCACAAACCTTAAAAAAAATTACACAAGAAATGTAGCTCTCTTGTCTAACTGTTCTAGGTGTCTTGTTTTTCAGCCAAAAATTTTGTCTGCCACAGTGTCTCTCTGAAAAATAAAATTCTACAATAGAATCTAATTTCTGGCACTGCATATCCCTACAACACTAAAAATGTGTGTGTGTGTGTGTGTGTGTGTGTGTGTTACATTATTAAGGGCAGGAGCTTCCAGTCCTCTTGTTTTTGCGATTGTGTGGTGTAGTTCAAAGATCCTACCTATCCAAACTTCGTGAGGCCTTGCTGTTAGGACACAGTTCATCACTATCTTATTCATTCTTTGTAGCTTTTCCAATCCTTTCCCTTTCCCTGCTACTTTAATCCTCCGTTCCCATCATCTACAATCTTGGCAGATTATGGTGACCATTTTTTATTTTATTTATTTATCTGTTTATTTATTCATTTAACCTGTACAATTCATAGGAGAATAGATCCCTCTTCTCTTCCCCCAAACATCTGTCTTATCAATATAACTCCTTCCATACCTGAAGTCTCACAAGAAGTAGTGTTTCCCTACAGAATCAAGCCCTTTCATCTTTTATTAACACATTGTTGCTCAAATGAAGAATCTCTGGCCCCTTGCTAGACCTCCTGAATTAAAATCCACATTTTCACAAGCTATCCATGAAATATGTATGCAGTCACATCTGCAGAGCAATGGCCTGGACCTTTCTCTCATCAGAGTCTTCATTCTTGTTTGACTCTTCCATCAATGTTTACAAAGATGTCAATGTCATCTCTAAAGTGTGTTTCTTTTATCCTGCTAGTTTCTCCACTTAAAACCGCCTCACTCTACTGCTCAATTTGTGACTATATGACTTGTATTTCTCTCTTTCTACCCACTGATTCCATAATATCTGTCGGCTTCTGCTCCTACCTAATTTGTTCCTGGAAATCTTGAAAGTTACCAATGCCTTTCTACTAAGATCTACTAAACATATGTTTCAGTTCTATCATACCACTGGTTGTAATTATCATTATTTGAACTTTTGGTAAGTCTCATGAATAATAAATAATAAACCCCACATTACTGCCAAACCTATTTTGAATAACCACCACCAAAGAAAGCAGTTTAAAATAGCACATATCTGTTATCTTACATGTTTTCTGAGAGTCAGAAATCCAGGAGCAGCTTAGCTGGGTAGTTCTGGCTCAGAGTCTCTTATGACATTGCAGTCTAGATGTTAACCATGCTGCCATCCTCTGAAAGCTTGACTGGGACTAGAGTAGGGATTTTCAACCTTAGAACTATTCATATTTTGGGCTTTGTTGTGAGGGTATTTCTTATGTATTATAGGATGTTTAGCAGCATCCATGGCCTCTACCCTACAGATACCAATAGTATCTCCCCTCCTAATTGTGACAATGAAAATGTCACCAGATATTGCCAAGTCCTCTGGGGAGCAAAATCACCTCCAGTTAAAAAACTGAGCTAGATGCAGTGAGTGGTCGTCCAGAAGCCGGTGACTGATCTGCCTTGCCCGGGAAAAGCGCAACGATGGTGCCAACTTGGGCCAGTGAAGCAACAGCCTCCACAACTAGATTGAAGAACAAAACGACAGCAACTTGTCTGTTCCCCTTCCCCCAATTCCCCAGCACTGTTCCCATCCCCCCATTCCCCGATAAAAATCTTTAAAAAACAAACAAACAAAAAAAACTGAGCTAGAGATTCTGCTTCCAAGATAGTACATTAACAGACTGTTGGCTGAAGGCCTCAGCTCCTTGTTGGCTATTGACAAGGAGGCCTCAGTTTCTTTCCACATGGGCTTTTCTCCATAGGGCTGTTTGGGTGTCCTTATGACACGGCACCCATCTTTCCCCAGAGTGAATGGTCCAAGAGAGAGCACGGAGGAAGCTGTGATAGCTTTAATAACCTAGTTTTCTAAGTCTTACTCCTTCACTTCTACAATAGTCTAGTTGTTAGAAGCTAGTCACTAAAATCAACCCCACATTCAGGGAAAGAGTAATTAAGCTCCATTTCTTGAAGGCAGAAGAATCAAGAATTTCTAGAAATCTTTTAAAAGTGCTGCAGGATCCGTATTAAAAATTCCCTTGTCATATAAAATCTTCATGAACTTATCATGAGATATCTACTTTATTTCCTCTAGCCTGTGTGTTGTTGTTATTATTATTATTATTATTATTATTACTATTATTATTATTTTGATACCTTTCTTTTTGAGTCTCTGTTATTTCTTTTTCTTTTCTTTTCTTTCTTTTTTTTTTTTTTTTTCTCTTTCCCCCATAATGAAATCTACAGCTCTCTAATCTGGAGCTCTTTTCACACAGACATGGCTTTGTTTCTAAGGCCTTCTTCTTATCCTGGACTTCCTTAGCTCACAGTAGTCTTCCTCCTTTGAATTCCTACCAGCCTCACTTTACACTTAGTACACGTTGTCTTCTTTAGCTGATCTAAACTAAATAAGAAAATGAAGTAAGAGTATTAGAAATAGTTGGCCTAATTTTCTTACTATTTCTCCTGTTTATCTCTTTGACCTCTTGTTACTGGGACAGCACAGCGAATTGAGCTGGGGGCCACAGGAATACAGGATGGCCAGAGGGAAAGGAAGATACACTGACCACAAAAATGTCACCACCTAATCCCTCCCTATACAAAAGTACAGAGGTAGCTGACTATTATCTCCCTTCCAACCACTTACTTCCTCACAGATATCAAAACCACTGCTGCTGCATGCACAGCTGATTGAGGTTTGACTGCTGTAGGACCTCCTTGAGGTGACCATAATAAGCAGTCCGCCATCTTGCCCCTACAGCACTGGTGCAAACATAGTTACCAGGTAACATAGCCAGTAAAGGAAGTCTGCCTTTCTCCAAAATCCCACCTTTCCATCAAGCCCACTTTGTTCCCAGCTTATAAAAGCAGCCAAACAGAGGCAGCCCGAGGCAGTTCTGAGGACCTTCATTTCCTTGGGGCTGCCTCCCCTGTGCTGGAGCATAAGCTTAATAAAATCTGTCTGGACATTTTTTCTGGGTTTCCCTCTCAATTTCTATCTTGGGGAGCCAAAAACCTGAGTGCCATTAACATTACCTTCTGCCTTTCTCAACTACCAGCCTAATTATATCCTCCCATTAGTTATAGATATTTGCATGCAAAGGCTGATAGGGAAATAATGATTCACTTGAAATGTGGTGCTGGAGGAGAGCTCTATGAATACCCTGACCTGCCAGAAAGACAAACAAGTGGGTACTAGAACAGTTAAGCCAAAAACATCGCTGGATGAAAAAATGAAAAATCTGAAGCTATCCTACTTTGGGCACATCATGAGAAAGCAGGGTTCTTTGAAAAAGACAATAGAAGGGGGAAATAGAAGGCAGCAGGAAAAGAGGAAGACCAAATATGAGATGGATTGACTCCATAAAAGAAGCCATAGGCAGGAGTCTACAGGAGCTGAGCAGGGAGGGCTGTTGAGGACAGGGCATGGTAGACTTCACTCATTCGTAGGGTCACCTGAAGTCAGAGCTGACTCAAGGCACATAACACACACACACACACACACACACACACACACACACACACACACACACACTTGAACAAAACTTCTCTTGTTAAATGTGGCAAGTGTCTAAAAAAGTTTTTTTTCCAGTGTGTGGGCTTAAAAATATCTGCATCAGAATCACTTGATGAAATGTCGAAATTCAGGCTGTATCTGGACAAACTGTCTTTGTGAAATCTTTGGAGGAGGGGTGTAAGAATCTGCCTCTTTTACAAAATCTAAGAGATTACTATTTTTTTTCTTTCTATAACAATATCAAATAAATGATTATATGGTCATATATAAGTTCTTCTTGATTTCTAAGGGATAAACTCTACATCAAATGTTTTACGCCCTGGAAAATGACTTGACCAGTTAACAATTGTTATGTAAACTGATGTAGACGTAGGGTTCAGCAATCTCTATTAATCTTTTGAAGCTTCCTTTCAGTGTCTATGATGCTCAAAGTCAGAATCAGTGTTGACTTGCCCAGCTATGAATCACTTCCTCACCAAAATTTGGGCATCACTCTTGTGACTTTCTTTCTACTAGCTGATGAGAGAGAAATGAATCCCTCATGCTGATATAGGAGAGGTCCATCAAACAACAGTGTTTGTTGTTTTGCTTTTAATGAGGTGTTACACATTAAGAGACAACATATAAGTACAAGAACTCTTTTTAGGGAATTAATAGCTCTTTGGGAGGAGTTGGCAGCTGCAAGTATAGCCTAGTGCCAGTATCCTTATTAATGAATAGCAGTGTAGGCAAAATTCTAAGTCAAGGTTACAGAATACTAAGCAATTACAAAATACTAAGGGTGGGAAATATACTGTCGATGAAAAAACAGCCATCCTAAGAGGACGCTTATAAGAGTTTATTGAGCCAAACTGACAATTGCAAAGTCTCAATGGATTGAGAAAATGCTCCAGAAAATGGCTGTTTTGCAACTTATTTTATACATTAAAATCAAAGGACAAGGTTACATGAATTCCTTTGGTAGCGGATTAAAGGGGTGGGAGAAAGCAAAGCAGGGGAAATCTCTGGGATTGGATATAAAGTAAAATGAAGAGATACACACTTCTTTTACATTGGTGGGTACAGTATAGTTAATAGCATTTTACAGCACATAGAGCTAGTATTTGGGGAACAAGATAACAATGAGGGACTTTGTAGATTCCTGCTCTGGTGTGGTGGGTTGTGCCCTCTGAGGGATCTGGAAAAAGAGATTACTCTGATATTGCAAGGGTATGTTATCTTAGATGCAAAAAGACAACAGACAGGGTGGCTTGGGATGCCAGAGGGCCCTGGTTCGGATCCCACATATGAGGGCCAGTGACACTGCCCTCCACAGCTAAGATGTTGAACAACAGCTCAGCCTGGAGCTGGGCTACTGTGAGTCATGGGCGACAGTGTAAGCTGCAGCCCCTGTGGCAGTGGGTTGCCATGGGCTACCGTGTATAGCCAGCAGCCAGCGTGAGCAGCCAGCAGCCGCAGTGAGCGGCCGTCCAGAGGCTGGTGACTGATCTGCCTCGCCCTGGAAGAGCGCAATGATGGTGCCAACTTGGGCCAGTGAAGCAACGTCCTCCACAACTAGACTGAAGAACAAAAGGACAGCAACTTATCTGTTCCCCTTCCCCCAATTCCCCAGCGCAGTTCCCATCCCCCAATGCCCCAATAAAAAATCTTTAAAAAAAAAAAAAGACAACAGACAGGCTCACTTAAGATAAAGATTGACCTTTGTCAAGGAAGCTACAGGCCAAGGATGTGACTACCAGCCATGACTTGCTTTTAGTTAGGAAGTTTTATGTTCACGCCATCCTATGTGGTTATTTTCAGTCTCCTGAGCTTGTCAGGTTTAATATGTGGCCCCTTTTCCATTCATAGTACACAGTCTGAAAGGAAAATGCACACATTTTCTCTCTCTCACACACACACAAACACACACACACACACACACACACACACACACCACACACACACATGAAGTTGAAGAATTTTGGGATCAAGAATTAGGTCACACTAGTTTTGTTTGCTTGTTTGTTTATTGTTGGTTTTTAATGATTTTGTTGAACTCCAAGTAATCAGTAATCTCGGTACCACCTGGCACCATGCTTATCTGGCTCAATTGACTGAACAGGGTTAATTTCTGGAAATTCTTGGATTTCCCTGAGTCTTTGAGAAACTTACAGGGGCCCAATTTGCTACAAAAATATTCTTTCAATGCAAATGTCCACCATTCCTGCAATGAGGTCAAGTGTGAGTTATTCTAAAAAGAGCGTTTCTTGTAGGAACTGCAAAACATTCTTGGCACATAACCCATTGGTCTCCAATCCCCTTCACAAAGAGACCTGAATAAACCTTAGCATGGTTTGTAGCAACTTAAGGCTATGGCCCTAGTATGACCTCAGGTCCCATTAAAATGCCTGTCTAAGAAAGTTCAATACTACCTAGAGGTCTGTCAAAAACTAGTGATAGGAGGATAAGCCCCTGAACTCCCTCTTAGAGCAGATACTTGAGGAAACTTGCAATTATAAACCCTTTCTCTTTGAGATGTAAATCTTCTATCACCCAAAACTGTCTTCTCAAGGACCTGGGAGCCATCTCTTTAAAATGCAAACATTCAAAGAGATAGCTCTCCCTTCAGGAGCCTGAAGGGCCTAACTTTGGCGGGCACTTTGCTCCAACTTGCACCATTATCTCCTGTCATAAAGATAGGAGACATTTATTTTCCTCCAGATAAGTGCCAATTACATACTCACATGGCATTGAAGGGCGATGAGCACCAAACCACCCCTGCTCATGGCGCTTCAGTGCCTTTCCTTCTGCAAGTCCCAGAATTTTAAAAGCCTCCTGCCTTTTACTCTAATGAAGTTGAGCTCAGTTTACACTGGACTCTCCTCCCTATTGCAATAATTATTAGTAAATAAAATCTGGCTTTATTGACTTTCACCAGTCCAGCCCAGATTTGTTTATTTTTGACAGTAGGATTCACCATAATGGGAAGTTAAATCACATTTGTCCTATGATTGAAAACTGGAGGATATGTTATGATGTACTTCTAGAAAGAACATGAATATAAACCACACGTGACCGGTAATGATGCTGAACTTTGTATGAGTTCTGCGTTCTTAGAAGCTGGGACATACTGAAGGTTGAGAATTACCCCATTCTTTTTTTTCCTAGAAATGAGACATGGCTAAGTGCACACACCACCCAGCTCTTGAATTGTTACACGATAAGACCCATCTAGATGGTCCCTCATTACTCCTATAGACTTGTTGATGACTGCTTCTCTACCATGCTCTGTAAAACCCTGGCCCCATTCCTCTTCTTTGAGCTGTTCTTCCAGGGGCACAGTAGAGTCAGTTGTAGGGCTTCGAGGTAGCTGGGATGGGAGGAGGACAGGAGTATACATGCTGATCCCCAATAATATCTACTGGCTATCTCCTTCCCATTCTTCGTTATGGAGAATTACGATTTCTCAAATTTAGGTAAAAGTGTCATACTAACACAGTTTTAAAATTCTTCCTTGTCCCATTCTAACCAAATTGCTGACCTTAAGCTCCGATATTATAGAAATTCTGGAAAGGCCAATAATACATGTTTAAACTATTTTGCTGCAAGATGACAGCTTTTACCTCCAGGTGCTATAGCTGGGGGGGGGGGGGGGAGCTGCTCCATAAGACAGAAAATAATCATAGAAGAAAGGGATTTGGAGAAATGGAAGAGACGAGACAGGGCTCAGCACAAAAGTCTTGTTTGCTGGGGTTTTTTGTTGTTTGTTTGTTTGTTTTTTCCCTCCACCTACAACCTTGAAGAGCTGAAAACCTGCTATTGCAGCTATAGTGGAAGACTCAAGGAGAGGCTGTAAAAAAGCATTAGCATTACAAAAGAGTCTATATCCACATATTCTGGAAGTCTTGTTTTGTCTCAAATTTGGCTACTGGCAATCAGAAATCAAAATAGCACAAGCAATAGAAATATATTCGTTCAGCTGATGATGGTTGAGGCAGAAAATGTTTACATGCTGAAAAACAACTTTGGAGCAATTACAGGTGAATAATGCCTGAAAAGAACAACACCATGGACTGCAGCCTGGGCTGCAGAAATAGGTGAGAGAGGATAAGAGGACTATATTGTGGGGGACTTCTAAGCATCTAAATAATGACTCTGACTGGGCCAGGGCAGTGATTTTCACCAGCCACTTCAGGAATAAAAATTTCACTGATGCTCTTTGTCTAGTATTTAAATCTTGTGCTCAAATAGA